ATAGATAGATAGATAGATAGATAGATAGATAGATAGATAGATAGATAGATAGATAGATAGATAGATAGATAGATAGATAGATAGATAGATAGATAGATAGATACTTTATTGATCCAAAGCACTCACCTTTGGAGGAAACAGTCTTAAAACTGATTTTGTAACGTGCTTTGTTGCTCCTCGCCCAAAGTCGCGAAACCAAACCATTTCCACATAATTGATGAAAAGGTACCTTTTTTTGAAGAAGTTCTTCCTCTGTTGAAGCCAAGCAGGCTGACATCACTCTGAATCTAAGGAAGTTAAAGGAGTATATTAACAAAAGAAAATCCAGATTTTCCAAAAAATGTAATCTTTATAAACGTCAAATGAGAATTAATTGATAAAATCAATTTATCGCCCAGCCCCATATGAAAGAGGTAATTTTTTTTCTTAGTAATACACTGTTAAGCTAAAGAGCTCCTGGCAGCCTTGGACACAATTAAAGACTACCAGACACGTTGATGAAAGATTTTCTTCCTTGGTGAAGGAAAAAAAAAGAAAAGAAACTATGTCAAGAGCCCTCTTCAGGAGGTTGGCACAGCATGTCATCAATAAAAATCTACAATCAAGCATTCATGAATTTAAACACAGGAGATTAATTCAAGGGTCCAGATGCTACAAACACAAAGGAAGGAGCCAAAAAAAACCTCTAAATGATAGATTTAGTGTTTGAGAAACAAGAATCTGTTTAAGATTAGCTCTTCAGAGAATAAGCTTCTATGAAAATGATGGAGAGGGAGGTTCATCTTCCAAAGCATATAATACAGTTACCACATACGACTGCCAGTGGAGGTTGTTTTCTTTCGACCATGAGACGTTTTGAGTGCTTGTAGAAGCGTACAAACCTGTACTGTGAGTTCCGATCCAGTCAGATTGTACAAGAGCTGATAGGAACCATATTTACAGATGGATTATTACTAACACAAAAGCAATCCAAATGCTCATGATGGCAGATGAGTAAAATGTTCTGACCTTGCTTCAGTACAGATTTTTATTTATTTAATAAAGACTGAATAAGTGACAGAGACCCACAAATAAACAAATGATTGCAGTTAAGGCCCGACTCTGATAGTGTTGAAAAAATATATTACAATTGCCTTCTTGATTAAGAATGCAATAAATAAAATAAAAACATTTCTAAAAAAAGTAGTAGTTTCTTCTACAAAATCTGCCTGAGAAAAACAACATTAAATCATGCCTGCTATTACACAGAAAACCCTTTTCTCAGTGTCCGTTGGGCCCTTTGGCTTGTGGGGATGGTTTTCATGTTTTGGGCTTGCTTCCCACAGATGCGCTCATATTCCATCAGATTGCTATCTGGGGGGGTTTAGAGGTCAGGGGAATACCTCACATATATATATTTATATCAAATACTGTCAGTGTTTCTTTTTGGTAAGTGACCCAGTTTATATACAGTAAATCACTTTTTATATACGTATCACTTTTAGGTCTCCATGTATAGATCCAATTTTGTATCGCTGATTTTTCGCTATAATGGGGGATTTTGCTGTTTCTTTATTATTGTAATTATTTTTGCATTTAAAATGTATTAATTTTATATCATATATATATCGTGGGGGGTTTCCAAACCTAATGCCTGTCCACTGTGTATTTGCATGTGCTGTGTTTTTGATGTTGGGTGAAGCGTTAACAGACCTGGGTTTGCTTTTATGCAGCTGCTCAGCTGGGTGCCTTTGATGCCCTTGTGAAGCAGATGCTAGAGGATGTTCAGGAGAGGCTGGTCTACAGGACTCACATCTACATCCAGACTGACATCATAGGCTACAACCCAGCTCCAGGTGATCTGGCTTACCCTGAAAAACTGGAAATGATGGAGGTAAGGTTTATGTACAAAAAACAGTTTTTCTTATTCCAGTTTTTTAATCTATAAAATATGGCTGACCATAACAAGCCCCCAGGCAGTGTTGACAGTTACTACATAACTTACTGTCTGCAGGTTCCTGAAAAGAAAATGTATTTTTATTTCTAAATGGGGTGAAAAAACACCCGGATGGCACAGACACATTCTCTGCTATTCTTTAGATATTCATGAGAATATTCTTTTTTCCCCCTAGTAAGCGTACTTTTTTTAAATGTTAAGTGTTCAAAGACCTGTGGACTTCTGTAGCTGAGAAAAAAGGGACTTGGAACTTCTAACGCTATCTACAGCTTCATAAAATGTCGTAATGCTTTAAGCCTTATGTATATTTAACGGCATGACAAGCCTTTGTTCTTGGCCGTTATCAGCACATGTTGTGGAAAATGTTTTAGTTTTGTCTTTAACAGCTCTTCCATGTTTTTTATCTCCATCTTTCCTTAAAATTGTATCCCAAATGCTGTTGATTTTTAGTTAGATTTTAATCCGTCCTTTTGTTTAGATGCCAATGTATAGGCTTTTAATTTAGCCTTGGAAAAAGCTGGACTTTAAATTACAGGCTCTCTTGTATTACCTGTGTTCGTACTTGGCTTAGCCATTCCTTTTATTCTGCCTTTTCATCCTAGAAAATCGCGCAAAGTTTGAAAGAGGAGCAGATGAAGCAGATGTCACAAGAGCCTGTGTTTTCTGAAGTACAGCTGGCTGATGCTGATGGGAGAAGAAACAGCAATGCTGGTTTGTGTCTCCAGATAGTGGCTCTTCATTTTTAAAACATTGATTTTTATAATTTACTCATACGCACTCCTTACAGGCACTGTAGAAGCATCCCGGCTACACGCATCTGTCTCTCCTGCCGATCTGCACGGCATGTGGTATCCCACTGTTAGGCGAACGCTCGTTTGCCTGTCCAAGCTCTACAGATGTATAGATGTGAGTCTTTCATTTTTATCAGTGGCTAATTTGTTGCTCTGCATGACACATAGTGTTTAGATATAGCACATTTGGGTCCCTTATCCGAGCGCTTTCTCACACCAAACTCTTGATCTTTTTCCAGAAAGCAGTATTCCAGGGTTTATCTCAAGAAGCCTTATCAGCTTGCATCCAGTCGCTGCTTAAAGCCTCTGATATCATCCTCAAAAACAAGGTTGGCACGCAGGGTTGGGCAGAAAAAATGTTTTTTTACATGCTCCATAGATTGTTTTTATAGTGATTAAAAAATGAAATATACTTGAATGACCTACTGGAGCTTAGGCCCCACAAAATGTATTTCCTTATCAACAGGTCCTAAGATAAATATATCTCCAAAGTACACAGATCTTTTTCCCATTCTGTTGATTAATTTAATTTTTTGATTGGTTAAAAAAAGAAGCACTTTGCAAAAGTGCGTGCACCTCAGGAGGTTTGAGTTTATTGATTTCTTTTACTAAAGACTAAAACTTTAATTGGCTTCATAGGGCTTTGATTTGTTCACACTCATCTTTGTCCATGTTCAGATGATTTTGTTTTACAAATATCAAAGCTTTGTAAATACAGTGACTCATCGCAGCTTGTCCCAGCAATCAGCCGCCATGGGTACCTGTTAGCACCTTCGTTACCGTCTGAAAAATAGAAAGAACTGATGCCCTTATTGAAGCTGAAAGCTACAGCAAACTGCATTCTACTTGCTTAATTTAAGTTTATAATCTTATCAATTAATGATGGCCATAAGGAATGAGAATGTTGTTAGGCCAACTGAAAGACTCTGTGATTCAGCTCAAAAGCCATCCTCATGAAAGAGTAATAAGGGGAAAAAAAAGGATGTCCTTGAAATTAAATGCGTGATCAGAGTAGCTGAGCGTAACAACATGCCTGACAGAATTTCTAGTCCAGGAACAGGGAGAAACACAGGATGTCACGATAGAAGTCACGACGACACCTCATCTCCAGATGTTCAGCAGAGGGTGTATTAGCCATATTCTGTTTGAGGAATTTCATGCTATCTCAGTGAAAGGAAAAAAAAAAAAGCTGAAAAATAAAGATGGCTCCTGTAACAGGATCCTAAACACCCCTCAAATTCCCCAGTGGAATGGCACAAGTTATTGCAGGTTATATCATGAGCTTTACTGTAGCCTGACCTGGACAAAAAAGTGTCTTACTCATGAGAGCAGTGCACACGAGAACATTGAACATTGAAGTGTCCTCAACAAGTCTTAAAATGCTCTCATTTGCAAGCTGTAATACATATTTGGTTCACCAAATCGATTTCTGATGGGTGCCAGATGATTTTTTACATTTCTGATTGGGGGAGGTTGTAATTAAAAACATCTTGGCTCTGACTGTACAGGATGGACGCGTATCATGTGATAGTATCATTTCTGGCAGTGAAAAAAATGGTTTTATAACAACATGATCTTTAACCAAAAGTGCTTTGATGACATGCGATTAATGTATTTAGTCTTATTTTAATAGATGCTTTATTACAGAGATTTCAGCCAAACATGCTGTATTTATGGGCCCTTCTTGCCTTCAGATTTACTGCCGATATCTTGGGCTAAGTGGCACATTTGAACCTAACACTTAAAATTAAAAGAACAACATTAATCCCATGGGGATATGTTCCCGTCCTGTTTTGATGATGTCCTTTTCCAATCTTTTACTTGCTTGCGGAGCAATAAATTATTTCAGACGCCTGATTTGTCTCAGTAATATTCTTGTTCTGGCTGTGGTTAATCAGCAGTTATTAATTAGACGCTTTCCCCCATCCCCATCGAGCTTTTTCGGTTCTCTTTAGTTTGGATAGTCAGCAGATGCCCTTTCGTGTTGGCTGCCTGCAGTGTGGATATGACTGTGTGCTTTCACTTTCTGCAGACACAAATAGATGGGCAACTTTTCCTGATCAAGCACCTGCTGATAATGCGTGAACAGATTGCCCCATTTCACACCGATTTTGCCATCAAGGAAATCTCGCTGGACTTGAAAAAAACACGAGGTAAGATAATTAAAGGCAGAGGGAACGTTGGTGTTCTGCTCCATAAAGCCAGTCATTACATTTTCATGCTCATTAAGCAACTTGTGCCTATCACATGCACTGGTGGCAACAATTAATGTGGAAATTGTAATCCAGCACCATAATGTACATTAACCGCTGGCTCAGAGGGCAGAGCGGCTTCTCCCGTCACCCTCCTCTCAGCATGTTTAATTTTGTAGCACTAGAGGGCACTCCAATTCTATACCAGCCCTGATTTAATCTCTGCTTTTGTGTGAAGATGCTGCCTTCAAAATCCTGAACCCTAAGGCTGTTCCCAAATTCTTCCGATTTAACAGTCACAATGCCATCCTCGAATTCCTGTTGGAGGTAAACTACTTTTTCCTTGATCTTTTATACTAAACATACCATTGGCATGCATACTTTGATAGCACACTGCCTAAGGGAAACGTCACTTGATACCACTAAAGCCTTTTTCCTGTGACCCCCCCAGGGAACACCAGAGATAAAGGAGCACTACATTGACTCAAAGAAGGATGTGGACCGACACCTGAAGTTCAGCTGTGAGCAGTTCATCCAGCAGCAGACTCAGATCTTTGTGGGAAACCTTGAGGAGTTTCTCACCAAGGTAACTATCGGACCGAAAGCAGACTTAGCCCTCAGGCGATGGCGCATCCTGACCTTCGTTATTTTCAGCTTTTCTTAAAAACCCTGTGCTTATTCAATGGTGATTGAAGGTCTTAGTACTGGGGTGTCCCGGGTTGGTCCTCGAGAGCCGCTGTCCTGCAGGTTTTTAGAAATGTTCCTGCTTCAGCGCACCAGATTCGTGTCACTGCTCCATTAGCAGGCTTGTGCAGACCTTAAAAATGGTCAAATCAGATTAAGGTATGTTGAAGCATGGAAACTTCTAGAGCCGGCAGGACAGCGGCCTCCGACGACCGGATTTGTACATCCCTCACTTAGTACATCGTTGGCGATAGAAGGATGGATTGTCTTTTTTTCTTTAACAATACTTCATTCAGTTGGTTAATGCAGCCATTTTTTTTATGTAAATGTGAGACGATTTCAAATTTATGATAATTGAGTCGGCTGACCTAAAAACATGCCGCGTTCTTTGTCAAATTGAAATGTATTTTACTCAGGTGGAAGCTCTGAAAACAATGGCAATCCAAGGCGGCCCTACATACAGCTTGTCTCAGCAACCTTGGGCACACCCAGGTAAGATTTGTCTCCGGAAACGCAACGAGCACCCAGGAACAATTAATCAAAATCCGTACAGGAAATGTTAGAGGGCATGCCAATGTTTTTCTTTGTCTTTTTTTCAGTCAGTACATTTCTTTTCCCCCTCCCTGTCTTTTCAGCCAAGATCAACGATATAGTGATGGCCACCTACCGGGTGATGAAGAGCAAGCTGCCAAGCACTTTACAGAGCATGTCCTTGTACTTGGCCAATAGAGACACAGAGTTCATCCTATTCAAGCCTGTCCGGGTGGGTGGTAGAAAAACTTGGCTTTATCATGTACAGCACAGCTCTATTTCTTTTTCAACTAATTGTTAAGGCTATTAGAATATCCCAAATTCTGTTAGTTTGCTAATGTATCTACAGATCTTGAGTGCCATGCTGTTGCACTCCATGGTCCAATCTGTCTTCCCTTTTTAATCATACAAAGTGTTATTTACTGGTGTCACTGGAGAGCTGAACTCATTGTGTTTTTGTCTCTTCCTACATATATTAATATAATAGCTCTATTGTACAGAGAGCGTCGTTGTCATGTAAACAAATTTCCTACAATGTCAGATGTTATTCTTGATATCCTGTTGGAAAGGGTCTGTCATTTTTGGGAGCAATGCATATATTTTCAGATGATCTGTCGTGGTTTACATTTCCTTTAGACATGGCATTGTGATTTTTGCCTTTAGCCAAATAGTCAGTGTGAATGAACTCTAATAGAGGAATCTTTGTGCTGCCTGTGTAGTGTTCATCAAGGTGTCAGGTGAGACTGAATGAGAGAAACAAAATTCAGCGGTTGACATGGAAACAAGAGAGTGAGGGGGACAGAGGCCAGATGGAAATGTGGTTTAATTACCCTCCAGCGCTTAGTAATATGATTTTTTTCCCTCCACCCCCCACCCCCCCACCCCACAGAATAACATCCAGCAGGTATTCCAAAGAATGCACGCCTTGCTTCAGGAAGAGTACAGCGGAGAAGATCTTCAAATCATCGCATGTCCATCTATGGAGCAGGTGTGGTACTGTGGGATTAGAGCAGCCTTTAAGCGCTATGCATAGTTGACATAATTATACTGCAGCATCCAGAACCGCTGCCTGCAACTTCAAGAAGAAAACTTTAAATAACATGTATCAGCTCAGGCTCAGAGGCACTGTGAGCGCTCATCATTTTTCATGTCTCTCTTTCAGATTAACCTTCTGCTGTCTGTGAATAAGTAATGTCTGGTAAAGCGATGCAGGTGAACACTGTGGATAGCAACATGACGCCCCAGCCCCAGCCACCACGGGGAGCTTTGACGTTGAGCTTTTGAGGTTGAGCAGACGGGATGACCAGAAAAACCGCGCCTTCTGGATCAAGGAAGGCGCAAAAAAACAAACAAACAAACAGAAACTCGCACAAGACCAAAGATTTTTCAGTCAGAGGTTTGGGTGCTCGTGTCGAAGTCCAAAACAACCTGGGAGACGAAGGGAAGCTTTTGTTTTTTTTTGGGGGGGTTGGCTACTGAATTGATCACTTTGTTCTACTAAATTTAAAGCTGGTGTGTTGATTCGGGTTGCTTTCGTGGAGAAATCCATTTTGACGAATGGATTTTTATGACAACGGTTGCATTTCTCAGCTCCAACTTGTCTGCAATAAAAAGAGAGTGCACTCTTCTTTGAACAGAAATGGGAGACGAGGACAGAGGAGATACACCTGTAAACCTACTCAGCTGTTACTCATAGGCCAGGAAGCTAATGGCCAGTAAGGGGGATGACGGTTGCATTTCCTTCTCGGTTTGAGAAGGGTGATGCGAGAAATATGCTGCAAAATATTTTATTCCTATATTTTAACATGTAACAGCCTCTGTAACACACTCAGCGGAACCCAGTGATGACCCGTGTTCAGGAGATCTCCACATGTCTGTTCCCTTAAGCTTTTTCATCCCCCACCCCCTTTGTGAAGGTTTTTGTTACTGTGTTGCAAATATGTTAGAATAAGAAGATGAAATCATTATGTTTTATATGTTTTTCTTTTTTAAGGAAGTTTGATTGGACAATGTGTGCATTTTCATTGGCACAATCATTTTCCCTTCGGTTTATGGTGTATGAATCTTTTTTGGTCCTCACAGTGAGACAAAAGTAACCAGACATCAGCTGTGTAACGTACACTTTGCTGGGTCCCATGTAAAATGATGTGTAGAGGTATTCTATTTATGGACATTCTAATTAAAAAAGATTAATAACATTCTTTGGCTTTATTTCGAGAAAGCACTTAGTCGTCAAATTCAAATTCAAGGGACGCCGCGGCTCCGGTCGCCTCGCTCAAATGAGAAACTGCCCATTGAAGGACATCATCGGCTTTAGGGGGACTTCTTGGCAGCCAGCTCCTGTTTTGCTGGCAGCTGCCGTCTTTCCATCTGTGAAATGAAGCTTTGCTGGGACTTGACCTTCCATGGACTGATGGTCTTTTGATAAGTGGTGAGGGACTGGATGTTCTGGAGCAGGACATTGATCTCTGCGCTCTTCTTCTTCAGATAACTCTGAAGCATGTCAGGTCGCGACACCATCAGACTTTTGCCTTGACTCATCTGCAGCGGCGGCGGAGAAATGCAAAGCAGAGGTAATTATTTGACTCGAAAAGCGGGATGCTTTTTCTGCATGTGGCACACGGGCAGGCCGCGGTGGCTTACATTCAGTTTTGCGCCCACGTTCAGCTGGATGCCGCATTTGCCAGAGGTGAAGCTGACACTGACGTGCTCCTGGGATTTGAAGAAGATGCTGAGGTTGGGGCCCAGTGTCAGACTGAATGGCTGGCAGGGCGGAGCATGAACATGATACTTATTGCCCAGCCAGCTCCAGCGTTTCCTCAAATCTCCATTCTTATTGCAGTAAATGCCTCCCCATGAGGTCATGTTCACCCTAATAGAGAGGAGCAGCTTGTGAGAACAGGCTTCCAAAGAGGCTTTGTCATCTCACGTGTATATATTTGTCTTTTTGTACTCCAGCAGATTTAAAAAAAAAAATATATATACACAATCTTTATATCTTTTGTGGTAAAATATCTTTAAAAAATGAAAGTCAGTCTTACCAAATGCTGCCATTCTCATGGTAGCAGGTACCCTGTCCTCTGCTGGTGAAAAGTGCCTGAATGCGAGGCTGCTCGTGTTTGTCCTCCAGGACCACCGCACACGACCAGTCAGCTGACTGTGCAGCAGCCACGAGAATGGCCAGTCTTCCTGATGGGTAGCTTAGAAATGTGATTAAGGCAGTGAATCAAGCATCGAGCCAGTAAGCTGCAATTCTGAGTCACTTGAAAGGATACCGCACCTGGCCCGTTCCATCTGGGAGGATCACAGAGAATGTTTGGCCACTGGCGTAGTGTTTGACAAGTGGTATTGTCCCCTGTTGATTCACATGAATCTATTTATTTTTCAATTCGATTTAACCAGTCCAGACTTGTAGACTCTTATTCACTGAGAGGTCAAGGAACTGTGTGCAACAAACTACCTTGAGTCTGGCACTTTTGATATTAAAAGAGAGCATGCTTTCACAGTCAACCGTTTCCATTTCAGGGAAGAAAGCCACCATGTTGGCATCTGCAGCACCATGTGAGAGTTCATTATCTGATGCTTGTATGTCTTCTGCAATGTAGTGAAAGGTGTTATGGCATGGATTAAGAAAAAGGGATTGAAAGGAAACTACCATCTGCTCATAATAGACGTGTCCAACCTGCTTCAGGTGAATTATCTTCAGATTCCAAATCCTGCACCCTGCAACGTGTCATTGAAAATCAGGCATTGCTCATAGAGTTAATTAGAATTAAGAAGAAAAAAAACATTCAACCACAGCCAGAAGGTAGAAACAAACCAGGACACCTGACCTTTTAGGTATCTGCTCATTGCTATCAGGCTCAGTGTTTTGGGCAGGAAACTCTGCATCATTTGGTGAAATCTCTGATGTCTTTGTCACCATATTGCTGCAGGTATCCTAAGAGAAAGACTAGTACCAGCTAAGGAGTACTATAACTATTCTTATTTCTCATATGAAGCACACTTCTTAGCAGTTTTTTTCAATATACATTTCATTTGATTGGATCTATAGAAGCATAATTTAGCACAAAAGTCTGTATTTGTTATCTTGGAATGTTTCACCTTTGTGTCAGGTGTTGCTCAAAAAAGTTTTATAGATATTATATTATCACAAATTTTTAATTAAACATATCTAAGACCAGGTAGCGCCAGTTTGGTGAAAATTAGAGTTAAACATCTGAGCTGCCAAGGACACCCTTTTCCCTTGTGGGCTGTGATGACTGGATCATGAAAGGCTGTGCCCAGTTCTCATTCATTCCAGTCTGCCTTGATTACTCATCATGGAATAGATGGCTTAATTTGAAAACAGTTGTCCTTGTTTTGGATTGTCAGGTTGCACTTGGTTTACACTGAAGAGCTGTATCTTTTTTTTTCTATTAATTTTCCACATTTTTTTAGATGCGTATCTTATTCCTAAAATAGTTTTGTGTGAAAAATAAGAGTAATACAAATAAGTTTGGCCTCCAGACAATGTTAATAATAAGCAGAGTCAAGAATCACGCAGGTCAGAAATGTTGCCTTTCCTTTTCTGCGCTTTTTTAAATATGCTTTTTTTAAATAGATCTTTCAGTTATTATGATATTTATATCATAAAGCCCAAAAATGAGCTTCATGAGAGGACAACCGTAGGTGTAAACAGAGGTCTTTATTCATATTTAACCCGTTTAGCTTTGACACAGTGTTTGACCAGCTGAGATAGATATCCCCAGCAGCTGAGGCGCAAACATGGCCAGAATGATAAAATGTCTAAAACTAGTCAACTTACAGCTCTTAGTAGCATATTTCAGATATTTCACTCTGGCTTTGTTGTTAGCTTTTGCACTGCTATGCTTTCAAGAATATTTACTTGATTAATTCCATAATCAATCCAATCACGTGAAAATAGAAGTGCGCTTATTTGCGTGAATGTGCCACCATACAGAGAATAGTCTCAGTCCCACCTCGTTTGGGTCATCCCTGTCGTCTGTCTGAACACTGATCACGGGGGATATCTGGCTCTGTTCGCTGTCCTCTGAGTCCTCTGTCCCCTTCTGCAACTGATCTGATCCACTCGAAGAGGAAATCTGAGAACCCTGGAGTAGATGCTAATCACGTCCTATCCATATACTGTGTTAATATGTATGGAGTCAAAAAGCTAATTCATTGTCTGACATTGTGTAAAAGAAATGTCTGCAGCTTTTATACAAAACAAAAGCCAACTAATGACGTGTTCTATAAATAGACTCATATTTGTAACAAAGGAGAAAAATGAGCAGTTGTGACATTTTCTTCCATACCTTGCCAGGATTAGTTGAAGTCTCTTCAGTTCCCTCTTGGCATGCTGTCTGAGATTGGGGAGTTTCCTTGCCGAGTAAATCCAACATTTCATTATCTGGGGATATCTCCAACTCAAGCTTCATGTTTTTAAAAACGCTCTGAAGAGAACAAACAAAGACACTTAATAATTTAATAAATTCTTTGAGGTCTTTAACTTGCTCCTCATGAATAAATCAGAAACGCGAAACGCCCTGTCTCTGGATAACATGTCGTATCATCTTCCACAAGATGAAACCAAAACTCTGTGGCAAGGTTATGAGAACCCCAATTCAGATTTTCTGAGCTAAAAGAAAAGTATCTGTAATGTGCGCCAAAACCCAGCTCCCTCTCTATATGATAATTCTGTCAATGTCTTTTTTAAGGGGTTCTCTACAAAGTGATTCTCCCATGTAAGTTTAATATAAGTCAACTTAAGAGAAACATCCCCAAGCAAAACTCTGACTCTGTCAGGGGCTTCTCATTGCTGCACTTCACACAAAGAGCTATTTCACAAGCCAGAATACCTCATTTTCAGATTGTTGTTGCAAACTCTCTTCTTGGCTTGGACTCCAACTCAACTCCCCTGTCTGCTCTGTTAAAGATTCTTCTCTCTCCAGATTCTTCTCTGGAGACTTTGGTGTTTCACTGCTTGGTTGTTTACAGTCTAAAGACAATTAGAGAGAGACGGAGAAAAACAGGTTATCTTGATCAGTCACGATCAGAGACTCATTCGAATGAAATATGACAGAAATAGGACCTTGACTACACTCATCCACATCTTTGCAGTCGGTCTGAGTGCCAACGCTGATTCTGCTTATAAGTTTCCCATCCAATGCAGAGATAGTCAGGCATTCAGGCGAGCTCACACTGAAATTAGATCCTCATTATCACCATGATGAGTCCAAACACATTTCAAAGATAACTTAAGCAACCGTGAAGCACATGTAGTTAGCGTCAAGTTCGGTAGTCTGTGTGTGAAGCTGAATTTTTTCCGTTTTTTAG